AGAAAGCTCAGGACCATATTGGTTGGAAACATGGGGAAGAGGCCATCATTCTGCAGTGGATAGACACTGGCTAAAATGATGATGATGATGAAATCTTATGGACATAAATTAACTAAAACTAAAACTTATTCAGATAGTAACTTCTGAGCAATCAAAAGCTAAAGGCATATGAAGTGCCTGCTTTGTAGAATTAATTCCAAATCTGATTCTGACTGATATTACAATGAAAGTAAAATAGCTTGTGACTGGAAAAAGAGAAAAAAATAATATTTTATAGTAGTTGGTGCTAACAAAATGCTCAATTTTATGCTCAGTGTTACAGCTATATTTTTTTCATATTTTATATGCAGAAAGAAAAAAAGTAAAACATTACAAGAATGTTCAACTCTAATGTTCAATTGTAAATAAAGGGATACAATTAAATTATTATTTCAATTTAAATGAGGCCTATTGAAATACTGCATTTCATTTAATCATAGAGATAAATATTCAGTTATTTTCAGCCAAAGTTAAATGATTACTTTTAGGCATGATCAACAATTTGTTTACCTTCAGTTAAATTTATTTATCTTTCAATTTTGTACTTTTTAAAGTCAACAAAGTTATTTCAAAAAACTTAGTAACTGCTAAAGAGATAATTAAGATTTACACCAGACAATAAAAAACCCACTATTTATCAATTAATGTTATTATAAATCATTCAAATTTATTTACCAGAACTGTGTTAATTAATAAGTAGAACTGAGTGTGTTACAACATCTGGGAAATAAAGATCAACAAATATAAATCTCACTAGTTTAGCTAATAGCACATGTGAAATAAATAGCACATGCTAAATCAATAAAGATGAGAATAATATCTTAAATTTAAGATTTTTTTTTAAAAAAAATAAAATTTTGAACACAGTCAACATTTCCAAACAAGATTCAGCTTGTTTAATCCCCACTCTTAGGAGAGAGAATTTTTTTTTTTTTAAAAAAAAACACATTTCCACTCTTGGATTGCCTACTGAAGATGATGAACTTCTTCAAAGGTAGGAAGTAGACTATCAAACATTCTGAGGCTTTTTCTTTTAAACATGTAGATTCTCCCTGTTTATAAAAAAATAAATAAAAAAATCTGCTAGAGCAAGCTACATACACAGGTAGGGCTTTAAAATACAAATAACCCAATTTAAAATTCTTTTTCTTCACCCAACAATACAATATAAAAGAGTATTGGGTACATTCAGTCAAGAATAAATATTTAAGTTGTCAGAAAAACTACTATATGTGGGAAAATGAACACTTTTATACTTTATCTATTTAAGAAATGTTTTATCAAATTAAATTGCAGAAAAAAGAATAAAATTTAAATGATGTTCCAGTCTGATTAATATACCCAATTTCAATTTCAATCATTTACAGTGTAATTGAACTCACAATTTCTTCACTGCTCAATATTTCTTATTTGCACTTTACTACTGAAGTTCTTAATATTTCTATATTTATAAGAAAAAAAATTCAAGCTAAGTAGCCAAATTAAATAAGAAAGGACCACAGAGGACATTAAATGCTCAAGGCAAGAAAGATATATTTCTAGTAACAGCAAAGATTGACACATAAGCCAATTAAAGGAACTCAAATAAAATGCGTAAGGCTAAACAAACCATTACAGCAATCGAAAGTAATATCCTCCCCCTCTCTCCATTTAATTCTGAATGATGGAATAATTTACAGGGAAAAATTATAAGTAAATACGAGTGGTTATAAACTCATATTCCTCCTAACAGGCTATTATATATGCCAGAGTATTGGATTTAAGGCTGGAGAGCATATCAGATTACCTGATAATAATAATAAAAAGTCAAGTCCTTTCAGTTTTACTTGATTTTCCAAATAATTCTGTTGCTAGGAATTACCTGACATTCTGTATTTTAAGATTAATTTTTATGTCGGGTGCATTAATTTCTATCCCTTTTTAAATGTTATTACAAATTGTCTTTTTTCTATTTAAAAATACTGAAATTGCTGTCTCGATGCAACATACTCATAAGAAAACCAAGCTCCTTCCAAAAATGTTTCACTTGTCTAATATGCTATTATTTAATAAGCCAAAGTCCTACAAATCTACCTGTACTTATTATGGCTTTCTGTTTGTTTCTTAATTTAACGCCCTACCCTACATAACTTGTCTTGATTGGAAGTCATCATATTTAGCATAAAATGGGTAGATAAAATAAAACAAACATAAATAAAGATAAACATGGATTTGAAGCATATCCAAGAAAAAAAATCAAAAAAGTTTTTTTTCCAGTAACGTATTTCACAAATGGAGCATAAAACAAACAATTATAGATTTCACTTGCGCGGCGACCCAGTCAACTACTGCAAAAGATATGCCTCGGTATCTTCTGACAACATTCAGCTGCGGTAAAAACAGAGCCCTGTGACATTTTCAAACTTACTAACTGTACAGTGACATAAGGTTTTGTGAAATTATTTATGCCTTACGCTTTTTTTAAAAAAAGTATTTTGCTATTAAATTAAAAGGGGGGACGGGTATCGTGAGAAGCCATCTTTCCGCCCCAACATCCCGTCGCATGGGCAGGCCCTGAAATTCCCTCCCTTGACACCGCCGCAACACGAACACGTGCTTTCCGGCCTCAGCGGCACTGCTGGCCACGCCCACCACCTCCAACCCGACACACCCACCTCCCACAGGACCCGCCTCACCCGCTCTTGCACCTGCAAGAAAAGCTCATAGAGAATCTCCTCCTTCACGCGACCCTCCAGATTGCCCACGAAAAGGGTCCGGTCGGGCTCGTCCGCCCTATTTTGGGTTGTCATGCTCATGAAGATCAGCCTCGGCTGCCGAGAGTTCTGGTTTTGGACAGGGAAGCCGGCGAAAAGGGAGGGGCCCCGGCGAGAGCGCACGAGGCCGTAAAGCGCAGGGGTCGTGCAACTGTAGGGTAAAAAGCTTTCAGACTACTTACTGCGCTTTGCGGCAGTTGCCGGCGCGATACAGCTTACTTGTGGGAGGGCGAAAGAGTAGTGATTACAATCACTTTCTCAGACGATAAGAAGCAAGTGTGTCTGTGCATCTTTTTCACACGGAAAAGGCACATTTGCACTTTTACACACACACACACACACACACAAACACTTGAAGGGTAGACTGCAGCAGCAGAGCCGATGGTGGTATTCTTCGGTATCCTAACAACCTTCTTAACTCGGAATGGCATCTCTCTCTCTCTCTCTCTCTCTCTCTCTCTCTCTCTCTCTCTCTTGATAAGGCAGTGTATGTACTGTCCACGTTTTACTTTTTTTTTGCATTTTATTTATTATTACATTTGTATGCAAACTCAAGTACTTTGGCCACCTAATGAGAAGGAAGGACTCACTGGAGAAGAACCTAATTTTAGGAGAGATTGAGGGAGATAGAAGAAGGGGATGACAATGAGGCGGCTGGATGGAGTCACTGAAGCAGTAAGCATGAGCTTAAATTGACTTCAGAAGATGGTAGAGGACAGGAAGGCCTAGAGCAGTGGTTCTCAACCTGTGGGTCGGGACCCCATTTGGGGTCGAATGAACATTTCACAGGGGTCACCAAACCATGCTGTCCGCCATTTTTTTCCATTTCCCTAGCTGTCCTACTCCCTCTTATTGGTGGCCACACCCACTTGGGGGTCACTATAACATGGGGAACTGTATTATGGGGTCACGGCATTAGAAAGGTTGAGAATCACTGGCCTAGAGGAATGTTGTCCATGGGGTCACGATGGGTCAAACATGACTTCGCAACTAACAATGTGCAGTGTTATTTTGAACAAGGCAGTGTGCATAATGTTCGCACATCTTTTCCCAATAAATTAACTCCATTACCTAGAACACTCTGGGTTGTTATATAGTAGCAGGATAATTTTTTAATATTTGGATGAGTAATTCAAGAGAAATTTACTCTTCTTGTTTCAGATCAGTTTCATAATTGTTACTTGAATAATATGATGCTACATTGTTATTAAATATTTATTCTGCCTTTTTATGTATAATTCAAAGTGGCAAATATATCCAGAACTCTGCTTCCTATTTTCGACACAATAACTGCAAGATGATTTGGGTAGAGAGGGAGTGACTGGCTTAACATTTTCTGAAACATAAGCAGATCTACTTATTCTAGCTGTATGTGGACATACATAGAAGAATAGAATAGAGCTGCAGTATTCCAGGTGTGGTCTTACAAGGATTTTATAATACTTTGTGTGATCCTGATTCTATGCCTCTGTTTATACAGCCCAGGACTGTATTAGCTTTTTTGGTTGCTGCTGTACGCTGCTGGCTCATAGTCAAGTGATTGTCCAGTAGGACTCCAAGGTCCCTCTCACAGTTACTGTTTTTAAGCCAGGTCTCACCCAATCTGTATTTGTACGCATGGTTTTTCCTGCCTAAATGTAAAACTTTGCTTTTCTCCACATTGAAACTCATTTTGTTGGATTGGGCCCATTATTCAAGTTTGTCAAGATCTTTTTGGATCCTAAGTTTGTCTTCTGGGGTGTTGGCTTCTCCTGCCAGTTTGGTGTCATCTGCAAATTTGATGAGTTCCCCTTCAGTTCCCTCATCTAAGTCATTTATGAAGATATTGAAGAGTACTAGGGCTAAGATGGAGCCTTGTGGTACCCCACTGCTTACTTCTCTCCATGTGGGTGTAGTGCCATTGAGAACTATTCATTGAGTACGGTTTGTTAGCCAGCTACAGATCCATCTGGTGGTGATGTTGTCTATTCCACCTTTTCCTAGCTTACCAAGAATGTTGCAGCATATTATGGTCACGTGATCGAAATTGAGATGCTTGGCATCTGATTCACATTTATGATGGTTGCAGTGTTCTGGAATCATGTGATCCCCTTCTGACAACCAAAGTCAGTGGGGAAACCAGATTCACTTAACAGTTTGATTAATTTAACAACTACAGTGATTCATGTAACAATTGTGACAAGAAAGGTAAAATGGGGCAAACTCACTTAAAAATGTTTCACTTAGCAACAGAAATTTTGGGCTCAATTGTGGGTAAGTCGAGGGCTAGCTGTATGTCAGTACTTTCTACTTTGGATCTGGACATTGGTACGATTGTAAAGGAAATTATTTCATTATGTAACTCTATCAAAATTAAGCTGAGAATAAAATTAGTTTGATCCTTAGGAGCTGGCTGTAGGATTTTATTTTTATTAAAACTTTCACTGTGGTTCAAGCAATAAAAATATTAGAGACTTAGAAGCTTTTTCTTGCCAAGGTGATCTTATGTAAAGCTTTGTAATAAAGAGTTTTACTTACTTCATGGCTAATTAACCTAATTTTTCCAGTATCCTTTCTGTTAGGTGGCAGTATTCTAATAACTACATCCCAAAACAAACACTTGGACTAAAATTTTAAAAGTTCTGAAATGTATTAATTTTGAATAATGTTATGGATGAAAATTTTAAATTAAAGTTCTACAGCTGTCAAAAATTCATTTTCAAATTTGAAATATTTGAATATAAAGTAATTAGTTTAATAGAAGATTATTTGTTTTGTAAGAAGGCCATCTGTATTAATTTATATTATTTCTCAGAGTAAGCATTATTTGAGATATGTGCAAACCGTAGCTGAAGGGAGAGTCCAGCAACTGGGCCTTTGAAAGAATACTCTATATTAATTGGTGGTTGGGTTACAATTTCTGCAGCTGCCTTAGCTTTAGAATGCTTCTTGGCTGATGGCCCAGTCAGCCTGCCATTTTAATAAAGGAACAATATGAAACCTGATGAAGCTTATCAAGCCTTTCCTAAGTGTCCAATGTTTTTTTTTAAAAAAAAGATTAAAAATACCGTGTTTTCTGTCACTAGCTTGACAGAAAATCATCCCAAAGATATTCAGATACAGATAAATTGTCTCTTCCTTGCCTAACCATTCCTCAGTCTTGGTTGAGACAAAATTTGTTTTCTTATGTTATTACTTAACATAAATTATTTGATTGAATGTGTTAGTTGAAAACAAATACTTAGTTGATTTTAAAATTTCTAAGGATTACGTAATCTGCCTGGAATTTGACTTTGGGTTTTCTTTTCCATTCGCTAATATAGGGCAAGGTGTGATAATGATAAGCACTTTTACCAAAATATACTGTTCATTTGAAGCTACTAAAAGAGCAAAAAAGTCTCCATCCTAAACAATTCTCTCTCTCTCTCTCTCTCTCTCTCTCTCTCTCTCTCTCTCTCTCTCACACACACACACACACACACACACACACGTTACAAAGGAGAGCTACAATCAGTGCTGTATTACACATTAAAAAGGGAAACAAATGAACATAATCTAAAATTTTGCCTTTTACTGAAGATATTTGTAAAATCAATAGATACTTGTCAGTTGTTTTGATGAGCCTTGGAAGACATCTGATCCACACTGATACAATAGTTACATCTAGCAAGGAAACTTCTGTTTCCTGCCATATCAGCCTAATGTCAGGATAAATGATATATAATAGCACATGTTCAACATACTGTATATAGAATGTGTTTGTTTGATTAACATTCACATTCATCTATGTATAACAGTTTTCCCTTGTTTAAATAACCAATTACCAAACGTATCAGAGTTTCACACTACTCAGACTGATCTCACAACAGATGACTCATCATTTTACAGCAGAAAGAGTGACTTCTGATACTAATCTCAGCCAGTACACTAGGCCTAGCCATGCAACTTTCACAGAATGAGCAAAACTGCACTCCTCCCTCCTGTCATATCAACAAAAGCATTACAGGTACAGTATTAGCAACTGCTATAACTGAAACTACCAAATTGTTTCCTGTGAAGTTAGTGTCAATATTGCTCTTTTCTTCCAAGAAAAGGATTGATGTCAACATCTGTCTTTCCCCATTCCTTATTCCCTAGAAAAATTAGCATTCCACTGCCTGGTTTTGCTGATAAATGCTTCTCTTCTGACAGGATAGTATTTCCTCTTTGATGACGTACATTGATGATACCGTATACTTTGCTGATGCACCCTCTGAATTCTTTGTGTATTTAGCAATTTTCTTTTGATTATTTCTCTATTTCAGTCTATAGCATTTAAGTATACTGTAGCTGTCCTTCCAAGTATAATTATTCTGAGAATTACACATTTAAATTTAGAAACATACCTTTTGATTTTTCTCTATTTTTCTGGAAAAGTGCATTACTGCTTTCTTTTGACAAATTCTAAGGATTTTTGAAAAGCATTCTACCAGTCCTCATAATTGACAAATATATGATGTAGAAATCATATAAGAATCATATAAATAGATTCAGTGAGATAATATAAAAATAAATACATTTAATAGAATCATTAGATTTCAAGGAAATAACATAAAGAAAATGCAAAATAAAACAATGATACTCAAAACAGGAAGATGAAAAAATAAAGCACAAAGATTTATTGTATTGCTGTGAATAGTAAGGGGGGAAAGCAACTATAGGCCATAATGATTTATTTTAGCATTCTTAGCTTTAGTACCTATGTCATGTTAATTGGAATACCTAAAAGCTTATAGTAAGTTTATATTATTGATTGTAAGACATAAATAGTATTAAAGGTGAAAATCACAAGCTTTCTTGTAAAATACAGAACCATTGTATTTTTTCAAGGAAAAAAGGCTATCTTGCTAAACAAATATCTATGCATCATTTTGTATATTTCTGAGTATTAAAATGTGTAGATTTCAACAACCATTCAAATAAATGAAATCAAATATTTTTGTAAATGGAAATTATTATATCTTCCTGCACTCTTTATATGCCACAAAATATTACCTGTTCATAGCAGATCAAGTACTGTAAAAACGTCTGTGTAAAGTCTGGTTTTGAGAATCTGGAGGAAAGAACTTTTTGCGATTTAAAAGATATACAACCCCTGAGGAAAAGAAACAGCCTCACCTATTTAAATTGGGAGGAGGAGCTGTAGATTGCAAAAACTCTAAGACTGGACTTTAATCTGCCAAGTACCACACCTATTTTATCAGTGACGTTTAATTTAAGCAAAAACCAACATGTTACAAGGAAATAGTAATACTGTCCTTCTGTTACTTGCTGCTTTCCGAACACTGCCAATGTTGGGGTTGTGTTTCTTCATTTGGTTTGTAGCATACTGTGCAAGAGCAGGTAAGGAAGCCATTGGAATGTTACCTCTGAACGTTTTAGCCTAAACGTAAGATACTCAAATTTTAAGAAGCAATGAATAATTGTCTTAAATACAAGTATGAAAGTTGAATAAAGGAAACACTCCTGAATAGAGTTAAAAAGATTTTTAATGTAGAACAAATCAAGATATTTGAATTTCTATATAAAGATTATTGCTAGATTAATTCTATGTGGTCTCATTATTTCATTTCATCATTTCAGTTTAATACAATAGGTTTTCAGCATTAAATCAGGAGCATGGAGAAGGTGTTACATTTTCTGATATCTTGCGTTAAAAGGACATACTAAAGCTTGGAAAGTTGTTCACTAGATTCACATAATGTACTAAACCAGGTCATTGGTTTGGAGTTAACATGTTGAGCATTTTGTTATATACTTGTGAGTACTGCTGCCACTATTCATTAATTTGAACAGACATCCTACCCCAAGATAAGGACAGTTATGTAAGCATAACTATATTTTTGATTTGTAAACCATAATTTACTGCTTATTTTTCTTAGTCTAGTCAATTATGGCTTATTCATTAAACTATGTTACGTGTAATTCAAGTCACTATTAGAGGAGATATGAAAATTCATTTGTTTATATGATTTGAAAGACTTATAATTAAGAATTTAGTCAAAACTAGATTACACTGAATATACTGAAACTTGCTTTTAGGGTAGTATACACATTATTACAATAAATTATTACAAATAAAATAAATTCTCTCTTTTTACGACCCTGTAGTCCCTATTCAGGGTAGAGTCTGGGTTGATTCACAGAATTAACTGAAAAACATTGTGAAATTTTGTACTGATGTTGATTTATATTTAAATTAGTGCTTACTTTATATCCAAATGGAGCCTTTAATTACCAGGATGCCTTGCATGCATGTTTAGCCTCAAGGAATTATCTTATCTGAACAGAATGGCAAGGGGAAAGGCTGAAGTAAAAGTAAAAATGACCTTTGGCTTTAAACACCTGACCCCTTCTGCTATAAACAATAACACAGTTTAAGTATATAAAAGTTAGTTTTCTATAGCAGTACTGTGTTACAGAGTTAATTCGTCAAAATAGCAGTGTAACAAACCAACAATCAGCCATGCTTTGATGCTGATTATGCATGGATCCCTGAAGCTATGTGAATTTTGGAGTGGGCGTTGGGAAAAGTAACACAAACAAATTCTTTGTTCTCCTTTGTGGTTTGTTTGCTGTTAAGCTATATGGCTCTAGTTTAGTTTTCATAGCCAAAGGAATGATAGTTAGCAAAAAGAGGAGATATTGGAAACTTACGATGACACATTAAGATTAGAGAGGATTCTGGGGGGAAGCTGCACAATTGAAATATCTATGGATCATGTTATACAGGCTAAAGTGAACTAGATAGCTTAATGCCTGTTGAAGAAGGAATAGTGGGCTGTTGATTTTTTATCCAGAATTAGACAATCTGGGATTCATTGGGTCACCCTTTCAGGGATGTTTCCTGACTAGATTCCTCAGTGCCTTCAACAATGACAGAACTTCTCATGTTCTGCCTTCACTGGAAGAATTGAGATACATTTATAAATGTGCCTTGAAAATAACCCCAGTCAAACATTAGCACAGGAAATGTTTTATGACATTTTGTATTATGTTGCATTATTGTTTTACAATGATTTTTACATCATTAAGTGTTTTATAAAATTTAAGGTACACATTTGAGATAACTTGGTTCAGAATTATTGCCCTATGATGCCCTGTTTTGCCCAATTGAAGATTTTCAGGAACAAAAGTTGTAGACGTATATAGATATGGTTGGTTGGTTAAATTAGCTGAGCTATTACTGCTAACTAAGATTTATACAAAACTAGTGATAATGGGCCAAAGCTCACTGAAGTGTTCAAAGACATCCTGAGTAGAAGAGCACTAAAGAAAAGATGCATTATAGAATGCTTGTCTAGATGATCTGGAACTAGAGTTGAAAATGGTGGAAGATGAGATCAGTGTTTGCCTGTTAAAGGGCTAGCAAGTTCTCAATTAATTTTTCATCCTGAGAGTACTGAGAATCAGTCAATGGCAAAAGCTCTTGTTTTCTTAAACTTATAGTATTAAATAAGATAAGAGTAGTGCTAGTAATTAGGCCCTGCAGGACATACACACATGTTAGGCATACATTCTTACCACATTTTACAAAAACCTTGCTTAGTACTTTTACATTAGATTGTTGGATTATTAGTTGAAAAATGGGAAACTGTTAAAGAATGACAAACAATTGACAAAGTTGTAGCTGGTGAAACATATCTGCTCTGAGAATGCTTGATTTATATCCAAACTGCTTTTTTTTGTTTGTTTCTGAATAAAATAAGAAAAAAATCTGGAAACTGATTTTTAGTCTGTTCCCATGTTTTAACTCATATTTGTATGTCCCCGATAACAGATAGTGTGAACCTAATTATAGCTATGGAACAGAAAAAAAGAAATAAAAAGCTTTTGAAATATTTTGTAAAATATGACCAGTTCAGTGTTTAGTAAAGTTCTGCCTAAGATTCAGATGTGCTTCAGATCTCAAGAGGGCACATCACCTTTCTATTGCATTAGTAATTAAAGCAGCCATGTTTTCCACAAGAGAAATTAAACCAGCTCCTAAAGCAGCTACATCTTTTTTCAAGTTTGCTCAGACACCTGAAAACGATGTTTTAGACCAAAGGTCCCCAAACTTTTGAACACGGGAGCGGTTCTGTGGAGAGAGGTTTTTCTATGGATCGGAGGGGGCATGGTTTCATGTACTGCCTGCATTCTGCGGATGGAGGTTTTCTTGTTTGTGCGGACCGGTTTCTGGCATGCCACAGCCTGGTACCGATCCACGGACCAGGGGCTGGGTACCTCTGTTTTAGACAACAACAAAGAGGTGCTCGCTTGTGATAGTCTTGGTTGCCTTGGAACTTTTTCAATGATGCTTTTGAAGTTAACACTGGGGGAAACAGTTGTATTTACACACTTTGTGTCATTCTGCAACTTTTATTTGAAAAAGCCCTCTTTTTCTCATGGGATGAGTATAGAAAGCTAGGGGGACTGCAGACTACAAGAGCTATACTACCAAAGACAGAACATTCCAAAACAATCTTTACTATTAACAGTGGAGATGCAAGACTCTGCATGTCACCAGTAGCAATTTCACAAGGTTTCCTTCTTTAGAAAAATAAAAAAAAACAAACATACCAAATAAATATTCAGTTAAATGCTATAGAAGATTAGGTTAATTGACAATTGATAAATCTCAGATGCTTCTTGGCAGTTTATTCAGTCATCATGCCAAGGATTTGAACATTTCTGTTGAACATTTTATTTTTTTAAGAGTTATACCTGTTTATTCTTGCATGTGTTTCCCATGCTAGTTAATGAGAGGGCTGAACTTTCAAATCATGTTCTGGAATCAAGAACAAATCAGAGCTGCTTTCACCCAGGACAAGCAGAATAAATTACATGTTTTCAAAATCCAGGATCTATTCCTCAAACCATGTTAAACTGTTTATTTAAGAGCCCTAATTTCTAGCAATTATGTTGTTAATAATAATGTTATTCTCTAGTATTTTATGTTTTTGAAATTTATATAATTTTTTTTAAAAAAAGGATAAACAAAGAATAATTGGATGAACTCAGCCCAATTATGCCAGATTTATCTCTTTTCAGCATAAAAATTATTACTTCTTCAATTTGGTCTTATATAAACCAGGAATTCTGCAATTATTGTTTGTGAAGTTAAATAAAATATTCCTATTTGAGGTTCCATAGATGTCTTGTAGAAAAATGAAATGCAATATGAACTTTAAAAATAACATTGATCAAATGTTTCTTTTATTTATATTTTACAAATTTAGGTGAAGAATGTCCTAAATTCACAGATCTTAATTTTGGCAATGCTGTGATTGGCACAGATCTGAAGATGCAACTGCTTTTGTATACAAGAAGAAATAAAGACTGTGCTGAGCATCTTGATGAACATAATATAACAACTTCTATACATTTTAATGTAACCAAGAATATTGTTGTTATCATCCATGGGTATAGATTTACAGGTTCTCCCCCAATATGGATTGATAGAATTAAAAATCTTCTGCTTGAAAAACAAGACTTCAACATCATTATAGTGGATTGGAACCGGGGTGCAACAACAGTGAATTATTTTAGTGCTGTTGCTAGTGCGAAGAAAGTGGTACCCTACTTAACACATCTTATTGATCAAATGTTGGTAAGAAAGATACATAATACTGATATCAGAAAAACATTCATCTACTTGCCCAGTTAACTCTATGAATATCCTGTATATTCATTGTTGTTTCTTGTAAAAGCAGAGAACTCTGGGCTATAATGGGGGATCATTATCTATGTTATATACAATGCATTTGTATTCTTATGGAAAATGCATGAGCATTTATTCAGATTATTATAACCAATGTTTATACAACTACAGTATAACATACATTTGGTCTAGTGGTTAAGGTACTAGACTAGAAATTAGAAGATTGAGTTTTAGTCCCTCATTAGCCATGAAAGTCAGCTAAGTGACCTCAGGTCCAACTCACCTTATAAGGGCATTGTTTTGGAGACAATAGGAGGAGGAAAGTGTTTTGGATATGTGCACTATCTTGATTTATTTGTAAAAATACTAAACATGGGATACAAGTAAATAAATCTGTTCTGTTACATGCGATTTCTAAATGGATGTCTAAACTGTAGATGTGTGATCATTGCAAGAGTAACATATGGACATTCATTATTTTCACTTATTTGTAAATAAAATGTGTTTTAAAATAAAACACATAAAATAAAAATTAGTCTCAATAATTGATTCACCCAAACAGCAAGCAGCAATTGTGGCTGCTTTATATTTGTGAAGTTCTGTCATGGAATTTTACTGTGATAGAAAAATAATGTGAATGGACAGAGCATAGCTAAGTGATATTGCAGAGTATTAAAAACTCCTAGCTTTATCTCCATTTATGGCTGGGAAAGTGGAAAACTTCAACCATGAGTAATGTTAAAATGTAACAAGATTCATAAATGATATGTCTGTATACAGCACTTACTATATATTGTAGTTGTTCCTAGGAATAGTTTAATTTCAGATGGCAGCCCTGCTGGCAATACCATACAAGGCTAACTCCACATTGTCGTATCTGAGTTACTTTGCTGAAATACATAGATACAAATTTGTGTATACTGTTTCATTTCACTATATTAGAAATCAAGCTGTACTTTTCTGAAAGCCTTTTCTCCACTTTATGATACAAATGAACTTATTGTACATAATCATTAATCAGGGGATTAGATTACAACAGTAGCATTTCATTTTCTTTTTCCACAAAACAATTCATTTGTGTTTAATTATTGTACAGTGAAATGTGGAGCATCCTTATGCCACTTACAGTACAAACATAGGATGTAATCTACAGTATGTGGCACAATCACAAAACCTATTTCAATCTGTTATAGTGTATAAGGGGAAAAATAAAATTAGGTCATTCTATGACCCTCTTTCCATGCGTTTTCCTCCCCATAGGAGAATGGTGTTGCTGTTGATTCTATTTATATGATTGGTGTAAGCCTTGGGGCTCATATAGCTGGATTTATTGGGAAGGCATACAATGGCAAAATTGGAAGAATTACAGGTGAGACTTACAAACTGAATAAACTTCAAACAGTCCTTCCAGGTAGAATTTTAGAAGCTGGCTAGTTTTAGTAGGTTTGGAGCATGTTTTATAGCACAATTCTGTCATATAAAGTATTGTAATTGGAATCTATTTTCATACTTTTTTACAGATGAAAAACAAAAATAAAGATTCTGCAACTCAGCAGTGTCACCACACATTTCTATAAACAAGAAAGGCACAGGAATGTTGTTTGAGAGATGTATCTCTGCTCTAGTCATTGTTATGCCTGCTAGACAATTTTAGGGCTTTTCACAATGGTGATATATGTGACAAGTTCACAAGCTGAATTTGACTAATGGCTCAGAGAAATGGCCAAGGGAATACTCCAGATATCTGCTATTTAATACTTTACTATAGTTTGATTGAGACATCAGTGCATTGGTTTAAATGAAAATATCCTTCAAATTAGTCTGTATCTCATATAAAAATAATGTAATGTGAAACCAATGGAGGTAACTTAGACCTAAGTTCTTGATCACTGAACAAACCTTTAATTTCTTCATAACATGATGTCATGTTTTCTAACATGATGTTTTTATCAGGGTGCACATTGTAGAAACTTTCCATATAAAATTGCAACTTGTCTCTTTCCTTAGTGTCTCCTTGGTATTATCTCCATACGTATACATTAATTACATTGTCACTACATTTGAGATTTAGACTAGTAGGAAGGGGAGTGTTAATGAGAAGTTTACTTGTTCTCCAAATAATGACTGTTTTGTTGTTAACTTTTGTGTTACTTATAGTAATTACACTTAAACAATGCTTGCATGCTTTTCCTATGAGCTCTGCTTTGAATCTACTTTTTAGGTCTTGACCCAGCTGGTCCCTTATTTACCGGAAAGCTGGCTAATGAGAGACTGGATCATACTGATGCCCAGTTTGTAGATGTCATTCATACTGATACTGATGGTAATTATTACATATTTGGATTTTGAGTATTCTGTGATTGAATGATTCCCCCTCACCCCACTTCCATTTCCTGGTATGATCCCACTAGATGAATCTGTACATTACATATGTATGAGAGAATAAGTTCCATCCCAGGATGTATGCAATTATTATAAATGGAATCCAACTAGGTACTTAGGATATTCTGACTTGTGCTTAAATATTTGGCAAAAACATGCCCAAAACTTTTTCATTTGTCTCTGAATTACAGATTTTCCTGATATAGAAAACATTTTCTAAACTACAGTACCACATTGGAGCAGCTATTTTTTTTAAACATCAATTCAAAATATGTTTCTTACAGCAGATATAAATTGTTTAAGTTCATTAGAAATGTTAACTGAGCTAAGACCAGTGGGTTTAGTAATAATCCTAAACCTCAATATTTTAATATTTGTTTAAAAAAACCTATTTTTCAGATTCAAAAATATGTTTAAACTCATGATGGTGTTGTCTACAATAAGATATTAAACTTCTTTTAAATATATTAACAACAAAGGAAAAATCAGTTTAGCATTGGCATTTTGCACATCGCTATAAAAGGAAATTCCCTTTTATATAAGATTATAGCTAATATATAAAATTATGAATTTGAAAGCAAATTCATAATTTGAGCAAATATTTGAGCAAATATTAGGACGTGTAGATTGAGGCTTGTAGATTCCATTTCATCTCCTAATCAAGCTCCTTGAAGAGACCAATCCCTTATTTTATGACTAATTTCTTTGAAAAGTTTAGAGTTCCTGTGATGTAGATTAGTGATAATCACAACTTCCAGTGTTTTGGTAATATGCATTCTTAGCTCTTTGATATCTCAACGCTATTGTTTTTCTTTTTCCTAGTTTTAATGCTTTCAGAAATATGTGAGAGATTAAGCTCTAATTTTTTGTGGACAGAAGTATTGGTTAAGATGGTATATTTATTTTTTCTTCACTATGTATTTCATTGCTAGGTTTTGGTCTCAAGGATCCTTTGGGAAACATTGATTTCTATCCAAATGGAGGAACAGATCAGCCCGGATGTCCAAAAACAATACTTAGTGGTAAATATAGATAAATTAATTATTATCAGAAGTGAGGGGCTTAATTGTAGTGAAGTCATTTGTTCATTTATGAAGGCAACTATGTTAGTGTACTTTTAAAAAATTATTACAGTTGTGTATAGAATCAAATTTATCCATTCAGTAATTTTTAGTATGCTTTAACTGTTCATTGAATCCTGCTCTTGAATGCTGTATATTAGCAAGTCTAAATCTAGATTGTTCAGGCTTATAATAGGATTGAAATTTTAAAATGTGAGTAAATTTCATTTTTTTGCCCAGGAAGGACAGAAACCCTTACTGTAGTTAAAACACATGGTGATAGCCTTTCATCACTGAGAAATCAATCTGCACAAAATTTCTAGGTATTCTTGGTTGGACCTTGCTTGGAAAATGTTGGGAGAGCAAATAATCAACTTGGAAAGGGAAAAGGAGAAATGGGGGACTGAACTACAGAAGACAATTTTCCTGTTTTGAAGTAAAAGGCAAAGAGTCACTCTTTACTCTTGTTTTTTAATAGAAGATCTGTGGTGGATTTTTTGGTAGTTATATGGATATGTTCTTTTCAGAATGTAATTTAATTTAATGTAATTCCAGTGTAAGCTATAGTTAGGAGTTTCTGGGGAGTCTCTCATTCAAGTATTAACTAGCAACTGCTGCTTATTCTGAAATGCTGCTACTGTTCTATTTTGTGAAAAACAGAACATAATTACGTAGTCTTGAGTTTACTTGTTGATTCTTCTAGGATCAGCGTATTTCAAATGTGATCATCAGAGATCTGTTTTTTTGTATATGTCATCCTTACAACATAATTGTGATATAACTGCATATCCTTGTGAATCGTATAAGGATTACCAGAATGGAAAATGTGTGAGCTGTAATTTTAAATCGCTTCCATGCCCAGTAGTAGGTAAGAGTAATGTGTTTCAGACAATATTTTATGGAAAACGTCTTAGATGTCAGTGTATAGAACATTCTGTTATGTAATGCTTTTTAAATCTGGTACAGTGAAAAATTGTAGGAGTAAAGCTATCCTGTTTCTTTCACAGAAAGAAAACTCGAGTCAAATGAATGTTTTTGTCGGTTTTAAACTACAGAATAAATAATTATAAATATTATAAATATTATATTAAAGATGAATACCGTACCAAAGTCACTGCACTGCACAAGATAACTCTCATCTCCAGTTTGTAGTGGACCAAGTTTGGTCTAATGGTTAAGGCATTAGGCTAGAAAGCAGAAGATTGTGAGTTCAAGTGCTGCCTTAGCCATAAAAGTCAGTTGGGTGACCTTGGGCCAGTCATTCTCTCTCAACTCATTTCAGAGTTGTTATTTTTGTGGGGAAAATAGGAGGAAGGTGTGCCGAGTTATTTGTAAAAATAATAAAGACAGGGTACAAATAAAGAAATAAAATACCTTCCAACAAATCATTACACTGTCTGTGTCTTAAACAGTATTAGCCATTCTTAGATGGAAGTAAAAGATAAGGAGATATCTTAATTTTCAAACTCAACATTCTGAATCATTTATAAAACATTCCCAACTATTTCTCAGCTACTAACTTCCTTTTAAAAACAGTCATTTAGGAGCAATTACCAAGGAAGGTTTTCCATTAACCATAATTATTATTTTCAGGTTCCACACATTTATTTTTAGGTTAGTATTTTACAACCTGTGATTAAGGGACCACTGATAGTCCATGAATAGAGATGATCCCTGGAGCACATGATGAGGCAATAACAATAATGCTAATAATGAAGATTCCAAAACATCTTCAAGCTTCAAGCTTTTAAGCCAAAAATAAAAAAACGTTGTAGTATCTCACAATTTTGGCCATTTCAAAGTTTTTTTTTTAAAAAAAAGTATTGAGTTATTTTGGTGTCTTTTAGACGCCATTATATTCTGTTGTTCCTGCCGGCAACATTTTCAGTTATGATGTAGGAATTACCTGAGGAAAAAGTTGAGAATTATTTTGTTCATAGAATAAAATGTATATGTTCTGTATTTCCTCCATTTCAAACAAAGTACAATAAGGTTTTACCCACATGTTTCTGATACTGCATCTGAATCAAAGGGTGAGTGTCAATTTGGCTATTGTGGAAACTGAATTCTTCATGGTTAATTTTATTAACAATAACACTCCAAAGAAGGGTCAAAATTTTTATTTGTTAAGCTGGAAGACTTGATGAAATCTTAAAATTTATTTCCAAATCTGGAAACCTCCATATTACACCATCATAAAGAGTGAAGGATAGCTTAATAGAGCTGTATATCTCTAATGTTTCCTGTTGGGAATGAATAAAAAAATATGTAGATGCTGAAATATATCCCAAAAGAAATAAAAATGAAACAGGTGCACTGTTTTTAAATCACCATGCAAATGCATTTTTTTAAAAAAATTACTATCATTCCACATTAAAAGAATTAAGTATTAATTCTTAAATAAACAAATAAACATGCTGGTTTTGTATGTTGGTCATATTTTACTTGCAATGTGTATGAGCACTTGAAGTCCTACATGACCAAGCTGCATCCAGCATTGTCTTCAGCTATAACAGGCAGGTTTCCCTCCTGAAGACATTCTGCTTCATGTGAATAGAAGCTAGGATTCATTAAAGGCATTTATACTATTTACATATTCTAGATACAGTATATTTTACATGAGGAATGGCTGAAAAACTTACATTATTAAATATTCTGTCACACTGATCAAAGAATGTTTTGGCTCTTTGTTGGTTATAGAAACGTATGGGAACTTATTGCATCTTGGTCATATTTTACTTGATATTAAATCAGAAATCCTAATATAATAAATCACAGTTGAATGAACAGTTTACTAACATAGATTACTTCTCCTTTTCTCATGAAAAAAAGTAGAAAAATAGATTAGGAATACTAATACTTTAAACTGGCCTAGGACCATAGCTTGTTTGAATGCTGTTATTTCTGTACATTTGTTTAGCTGCTCAAATGAAGAAGCAAATCATAAACATGCAAATTATCTATGTGCACTTGACAGTATGCTTGATCTATTTGTAGTTTCATTACTACCTTCCATGATGTTGTAATATAAACCTGATCAGTCGGTTTGCTTGCTGAATGAGTCATTAAAAAAGCACTCACATTTCCAGATGAATTGCTATACTACTTTCTTTTCCTAATTCAAACTTCATTTCTTCATAGCTTTTGACTAATTCATGGTATTACGTAGGATCTAACAAGATAAGTGAGATTGTGAGCAGGTTTGTTAGGATCAAACAGACAAAACTGAGTACACTATCCAATATATATATATTAATTTTCTTTATTCGTAACATTTCTAAAATGGAAAAGGTTTAGTTTCTATTTCAGCCATGCTGTACTAACCAATCACTTGCACTACCACCAATTTCTAACTTCTGAAAAGAGTAGAATGTGGCAAATTGATTTATGGCCTAATTGCTTTACCAATCAAAAATCAATTGCCTGCTTGCAATAGCCATGCTTCTGCTGCTATGTCACTGTGCTGTCTGAAGCTATTGCTTAATATAAGATCATTACTAAATTTGCAAAAGAGTTAATCAAGAGTTTCACTTAAAATCTAGCTGATAACTTCTCATAGTTAACCGAACTTTTGTCTTCAGGGGTCTTTGGGCCCTCTTCCTTCTCTCAGCATCTGTGCTCAGCATAGCAATTTTACACCTTACTGTTCTATCATTGCATAGTGATCTCAGTTGTGATTTGTCTTCAGTGGATCTGAACTATCCAGGAATTTTCATTTCTTTAGCCGATGGAAATTGCAGTGCTATTTTCCTTAATAGGTATTTTTTCTTCCTATCTCTGTGCCAACTTTGGCAGTTATTTAGTCCATTCCAATTTTCTCTACCTCTTTTGAGATACTTTCTCTTACTGAAAAAACCTTATATGGTTTATTCCAGATTTTTCCTGTCCTCAGTTTACCAACTACAAATGCAGTTTGAATATCTGCAGGATCACATGTGTGGATGATAGAAAGTATTTAATGTTTTCATTGTGCCACTGAGTTAAAAAAAGAAAAGAATATGCATTTTAGCCTCAGTAGTAAAAATTGTTGCATGCCACCTTGAATCACTTGTTTTGTGAGATGGGTGGCCATATAAATTGGATAAATAAAAGTAAAATATTTTATTTTATGAGGATAGAAATGTAGAACTTAAATACCTTTGTTATATTCTGGGAAAGTTGATTTCACACAGCATCATAAAATAATATATCTTTAGTATTTTTTTGTATCTATTTGTTTATTTTGTATTGAACATATTTCAATTTCAGGATATTATGCTGATAAATGGAAGAGTCATATACTTGAAAAAAACCCTCCCATGACAACAGCTTACTTTGATACTTCAGACGAAGACCCATTTTGCAGTAAGTCATTAACTATGTTCCATGCATGTACTTCAATTTTTTTTCCTGTTATGGAGAAAAATAGGAGGAAAAAAACCAAGTGCATTTTACTATCCAGATAACCTGACATTTCCTTGATTAAATTTAGTTTTTTATTACTATTTTATTTATGAAATAGTATAATGCTCAAAAGATCTATGTGCTGGGAGAAAAGAATATTAAAAACAGGAAATTATGTGGGCATCCCAGTAAAGGATGACAAATGAGCTGATAAAAATGAGAAAGAGATGGATTTATATTAGATAATAGCAATATGAATTTCAAGAAAAGAAGTATAATGAAACAGAGATGTAACTATTTAATACCATGCATTATAAAAGGTCCACATGAGATATGTACTAGTATCTCTTACAAATAGGGCTGTGTGTGTTTCTGTGTATGTCTGTGTTGATGTTTTCAACTGATAATCAAATCATTGCATTCAAGGTCTTTGCAAGCTAGACAGAACTTGAAGCAGAGATAATAGTTCAGTATTAGGAAAATTATTAATTCTGGCTGATTCACATAACTAAAAGATGGATCTGCTTTAGAATAATTTATGTAACCCCTTAAGTTAAATACAATAGCATTATATTAATAGAAACATTTCACACTGCAAACCAGACTTCCATATATTATATTGTGCGATATCACAATATAGTCGGTTTTGTGTAATGGTTAAGGCATTAGACTAGAAACTGGGAGACTGTGAGTTCTAGTCTTGCAAAGCCAGCTGGTTGACTTTGGGCCAGTCACTCTCTCTCAATCCTAGGATGGAGGCAATATATGGCTCATAAAATATATGGTTAGGAAAATGTTACATTGACTATTGGCTATTTTGGATATGGTAAAAGTAATGCTATATTTTTTGCTTTGCTTATAGTATTTTACTTATAACTGTGAATGCAGCAAAAAAACAAAACAAAACAAAACCCTGCATGATTTTTAAAGGTAAAGGACAAGACATATTTAGCAGCAAGTAATAATTTGAATTTGAAAATGTAGCAAACTTAGAATTTTAATACTAAATTTAGCTGAATTCAAAATGAAATGACTGGCTGTCTCATTCTTGGGGAAATATGACTATGTTCTACATTTACTATCATAAATGTAATACAGAATGAGTAATTTAAAAAAAATATTTTGCTAGTAAGTACAGCAACTATTGAAAATCGAACAAAAAACAGAAAAAACTAGAATATATAGCACTTACAAAAGACATCCATATTTATAAGGGCATCAAATGTAAGATTTATATCATGATTAATTAATTAGAGTATAATAATTTTACCAGCTATTTTACCCTGCTCCATGAGAAAATCACAAGATTTTCACAAGATGCTGTTCCTGAGTTTATCTTACCATTGAAGGGGTATTTTGATCAATCTCAGAATAATAAGAAAAAGTTGCTGCTAAAAGAGTTACAATAAAATGGTTTATCATGAAGCTATTACCTACTATGATGTAGTTAGCTCTGAAATGAATATATTATTCTGACGTTCTAGCCTGAGAACGTTTTTAGTAGTCTCTTGATATATAACTTTCTGACTTTGCTTAATAAACTCAGCTCCCAGTTTTCCAGGATTCTTTTTTTCCATTCTAAAAAAGAAGAAAATAAATCAAAATAAAATTTCATTTTTTCTCTCTCCCACAGTGTATCATTATTCTTTGGATATTATTACCTGGAATAAAAGCACTAGGAGAGGTTTCATAAATATCAAAATAACAGATAATTCAGGAAATACAATAGAATCCAGAATTAATAGGTGAGATATATTTATTCATTTTGGTACTTTCTTTATGCAAAATAGTATCAGCTATAATTAGAACTAATTTGAACAAATAAAATGAGTAATTGATAAATGACTTTTGAATTAGAATGGAAATTTGAAAGTTAATATGCAAAGAAAAAAAAGATAAAAGGGGTAGAACCATAGTTGGAACGGGCAACTCTATCATTAAGTGAAGCAGTTGCAAAATTTTCTTTGTCCCCACTTTTGGAATTCCCCACCATTTGAAATGTGATTATTAATCACAAAACTATTCTTTGAGCACAGTTGTAACTTCAAATGATTGCTAAAGGAGGGAATCAGTAAGCAAGGACTATCTGTATTGAAATTGTATGTATCTTATTTATAAGTCTTATTTATATATCTGCCAATCTCACAGTCAAATGACTCAGGATGGGATTCAAAATTATACAACAAATTTGGGATGGATAGATGTAATCTGAGAAAGACAGTCCCTCAAATGATCCAATGTCACGCCACGTAGAGCTTTAAACATCAAAATGTGCTCCTTGATTTGACTTAGAAACAGACTGGTTAACAGTGCACCTTGCCAAACAAAGGTATAAAAATGTGTTTGTAAAGAAACACATAACTGCCTGCTCTGTTGCATTCTGCATTCTGCAGTAGCTGACACTTCCAGATGTTCTTCAAGGACAGTCTCATGTAGAGCACATTGCAATAGCCCAACCATGAGGGCATGAGTGACTGTGAGTAGAGCTCCCTGATTTTGGAAAGCAAGATGCAGAATACTAAGTTAAGCAAATACTATTTCAGTCAGACTTTCTTTCTGTTTTCTAATTATGCTACTTATTTTTGCTACCGCCTAATATATACCAGGAGAGGGAGGAGGAGAAAGGGAGGGACGACGAAAGGGAGGGAGGGAGGGAGGGAGAAAAAGAGAGTGCATTAAATTTACATAAGTTAGTTTATATTGGTATATGTAAATTGTATTGTGTAAATACAAGGTATTTATAGTAATTGTAAAATTCTTCATAAAAGAGGGTGCATCCAAAGGCTGAATTATTTTTTAAAAAAACTCACTTATTTCAGTGCTCAATGGAAATATCAATGCAGCAGAGCCAAAGGAAGAATAAGAAAGTGGGTGGTATAGGTTGGAGGTTGGAAGTGGCTACTGCAAGGGACTTACTTCCCTTCATGGCTATTTTTCAACAGGCACTCTCAGGTGCACTGATACCAAGAATCAGTGCTGATAGCCAAAGCTGTCTGTCTGCCTTATATGTACCAGGAGAAATTTTCAATAGGCACAAACCTGCTGCAGTAAAGATTATAATGCATGTCTTTTCTTTTCTTCTGATCTCTTGTGGACAAATAAGTGGCTAATTTTGCTTGTTCAGCTTCAGCTTCAAGGTATAATAAGACCTTTCGTAGATCAGTCCACAGTGCTGTTACAATCTGTAGTGGATGTATTTAAGAATCCAGTTGTCAAAATACATTTTTCTGCTGCTTTTGCCTGGACCAAGGTTTGTAGTTGTTTCTATATTCTGTTCTGGTTTGTTTTTTTAAGACGATTGGAACCCATTGCACGACACCTTGAGTCTTATTTTATAAAGGGGCATACATTGAATAAATCTGTTTTTTCTTCTTTAGTGATGCAACTGTATTTCAACAATATAGGCAAGCAAAGATACTTGCTGGATTTTATCTGGATTTTGGAAACATTTCAACAATTACTTTGACATTTTCTACAAAGAGTACAGTGGGCCCCAAGTACAAGCTTAGGGTTCTCGAAATGAGATTAAAATCCCTCTCACATCCAGAAAGGTAACATAGATTGTCATTTTATAATAGTTTTATGATCTAGAAGAAGAATTTAGGAAAAGACAGTTGAACCACTAATACTCTTGCTCAATGATAGCACTTACAGATGACAAAAAAGTTTTGATTGAAGGCACTGTTTCTTAAAACGGAGGCAGAAAATAAGCACAATTTCTGCTAAAACTGCATTTGAGGGGAATGTTTTCAATAGAGTGTGTCTGCCATGTAAGTGTAAGTGGTCTAAAAATACTAATTTGTACATGTTTGTCCTTGTCTATGTTGCATTGCTTGATGTGTTTCATTTGACTGTAAATAGTTCTTGTTTCAGGAATATGCTTTCCAGTCACTTTGCAGAGAGATACACATGCTCATTCTGAATATTTCATAACTATTTATTGGATTTTGGCCATTGTCAATGAAGTTTCAAGTTTTTGTGTGTTTCTTACAATTGTTACCTATTTGTAACAATCTCTGCTAGCATTTTGCACATTTTTCTTCATTTATCATTTTGTGCATTAAATTAAAATAAAATTTATTGTATAGTATCGACATTCATAATAACTATCATAGGATTTATACATAATTATGATCTTGCACTTTGATAAAATATGGGGAATTGATAAGAGAAAATTGTTTCTGCAATTATTCATAATGGCTATAATTATATAAACATAGGTTTAAAACAAGTTTTAAATTCTGTATCCAATTAGGACACAGAGAATATATAGATATATAATATATAATATAAGAATTATATTAATTTAACACATGCCAACAGTTTAGTTTAGAAGTTGAGAAAACCTTACTATCTCTTTCATTTATTTATATGATAAAATGTCTTAGAAGGATTTTTTTTCTGTATATAATGTGGGGGCAGAAAAAGGAGAACTACTTCTGCAAGAATTCTTGATTATAAATATTGATAGAGAATGTTTAGTTGTATTGGTTGCTCCATCTTAGGAACAGTCATGAAAATCACTTCTCAAATAAAGAGTGGTGCATATTATATAGAAATTAGTAGCTTGTTGAAAATTTCTTTTGTTTGAAACAGAAATACTTTTCCCCAGAATTGTTTTCCCTTAGTATTATTTAGTACATGCAATAAAATAATTGGCTAGGCAGTAAAATAATTGTTCCAAGGACATTAATTTATTTAAGTTCTGAAATGTCAGCCAGATAGCTTGTGATTAAGATACATATATTTAAACTATAGCACTTAGCAGTAGATTCCATTCTGGACTTTACCTATCTAATAGGTTTGGCTATTGGGTGACACCTAAAGAGTTTTGCAAAGACTTTTACTCTAAAAAGTTTGAAAAAATTCATTTCTGAGAGTTTGTTCATATGTCTATATATGATTTGGAAACAGTACAATATGGATTTTTTAAAATAACTCTGGATGATCAATTCAAAGGGTAAAAAAACTAAAGGTAGAGAAGTAAATAAGATTAAAATTTATTCCCATCTGTTTTGGACATGGTTTAGTACAGTGGTGGTGAACCTATAGCACACGTGCCAGAGGTGGCACTCAGAGCCCTCTCTTTGGGCACGCACACCATTCCCCAGAGATGGCAACCATCCCTCTTCAACCAGCCGCCGGCTAACTGGCCGAGGTCCCACATGGCTGGATGCATCCCAGCACCCATGCGCTCTCTGGCTTTTGTGTGCAGATGCCGATGGTGTCAGGCAGGAGCCGCCCTGGCCCCTGCCTCACCTTTCCCTGTGACAATGGCACCCCCGCCCTGCCTTGCCTTGCCTCACCCCATAGGACGAGCCTCCTGCCCACTGCCTTACCTGCCAGAGACCCCCTGGATCTGCCTCAACCCTGCCCGGCCCCCACAGACATCCCTCCCCACAAGCAACATCAAAGTGATCGCACCCACATTGGCCACACCCACCCAATCTGCCATGACCACCACAGCCACGCCAATCCAGTGGGCCACGCCCACCTGGCACCTGGCGATAAATACGTGGATTTTGGGTTGCAGTTTGGGCACTCGATCTCTAAAAGGTTCGCCATCACTAGTTTAAGTATATTATTATTATTATTATTATTACTACTACTACTATTAAATTTATTTGATGCTAGGAGGCTAAAAAACATAAAAACAGAATTAAAAAGGAAGTTTAAACAAAATGTGAAATAATAGAACAATACAACAAACAAGGAAAAACAAAACAAAGAAAATACATTAATATGACTAGTAAAAAAAATAGGCATGTGGGTAACAGAGAATGGGAGGGGGAGATGAGTCTGTTATCATATATTATTCTGTATTATATTAGTAATACGCTTAAATCAGTAGTCCTGATTCCTCTTAAAAATACTGATTAAATATAGATGAATATTACTTATGTACAATAAAAATAAAATACACTTTTTCTTGATTGCATATTTTCTTCTCTCTGTACAGGATCCAGCTATGTAGGTATGATATGATACTTGTGGAGAATGTTGAAACAACTTTTACACCTATCCCATGCTATGAGATAAATACGCAAGACAATTGATTATTTCAGGATATTGTATGCAAGAAATTAACAAGAGCAACGTGAACTGGTAACAAGTTTAATTGGCTTCCTTCAAGAAAGTTAATTTGCCAATTTTATGACTACCTCTGAAGATCACAGAATGAACTTTTAAAAGAAATTCAGAGATTTTTCATGTGCCTAGTTGCATATATTAGCAATCAATTTCTAATTAATGAGCATTCAAAGCTGTGAATTATTTTTTGAGACAATTTCAGTTTTAGTCTTATGCATAGTGAGGCTGATATACCATTGAAATTAATAGTAATAACTTCATCACTAAATGTAGGATCATAGTACACTAAATATGTTTGTTGATACTTTTATATTTGACAGATCTAATATCTTATTATATCAATATGAAATGCTACAGTTTAGAGAAATAGGTTCAGATCAGCATTTGGGCACATGAAAAAATATTCTCATTAATGGAGCATCTCTGTTCATAATGACACTGACAGGCTGCTAATGTTGCTAAATAGAAACTGAAATTGAATCAATATAATAATATGCTTTATGATGCATATGCAGTATAATGCAGATACAATTTGTAAATATTCAGAATACAGAAGCTACAGTTTAGCTCATCTTATTGATCCTAAAATCACACATAAACCATTTATTACAGCCAGTCTCCTGGTAGCATCACTCAAGCCTCTCAGCAACAGAATTATTTAATATCTTCTGAAAACCACCTTTGCATGTTCAATATATGTAGCTGCTAACTATTTACATATTGTTCATATGCATAAGAAAGTATTTCTTAACAGGTGAATAACTTGACTGTATAATGATCAATATTATTTGAGCATGTGAATATTATTCATTTAAATAAAATATTTATTAACAGAGAGCAAATAATTACAAATATCTTTGTAACTAATAGGAATGTTATATATTTTTAATAGATGTTTCTTTCAAAGATCTCCATAACAATTTTAAGAGACAAATCCATTGTGATGGGATCATCACTCACTGATATGCAAAGCAAAAAACTGAACCATTTTTTATTTTTGTTTCCTCTCCTAACTCCATTATTACATGCAGGACTTTTTTTGTCATAGAACACCCAGAACGGAGTTCCGGCACTTTTTGGGGATGGAACCTTGTAGGGTAGGCAAGGCAGGTTGTATGACGTGTGTGAGTTTTGGCACTTTTTTTTTTTTTTTACAAAAAAAAGCACTGATTATATGTATTATAAGGACTTGTATATTGCACTATTTTTAAAACTTATTTGATGGTGTATTTGCTGTGCTGTGCAAATCTTACCATTGTAATTTGTTTTATGTTTAGTGTTATTTGTGAATGCATTTTTAAACATTATTTTAAAAGTTCTAGATAAATATTGTTTTTTTGTATTTAACAGCAATTATGGGTGTATTTCCATAATTTTGTAGTTTATATTAATTTTTAATCTTATTATTTGTAAATCTTAATAAATGTTCCTTAAGGATCACAAGAGGGGGGTGATTTATGAGTAGGAACAGGGAAGAAGAATTTAAGAGGGGATAAAATTCAAAGAATGCAAAATATTTTAAATAGTAGAAATGATACTTATTTTGCTGCAGGCAAAATAAGTCAAGAAAGATTACTATTTAGTCAGACTAGTCTAGCTTTAAAGAACATGGATGATGAGGAATAATAGTGGAATGCTCATAATTATTAAAGGAAAATTGGATAAATGACCACTTATCACTTTTATTTAAATCTATTTGCCAAGTCAGGGAAAATTATGAGGGACACAGGGATGTAGCCCAAGACAGGGATGTCTTGTGAAAGGTGTGACTTGGATTGGGGAGGGCATGTGGGGGTGAAGCATGAGACAGGAAGGACTCATGGACATGTGCAAGTGGTGCTGTACTGACTGGGAGGGTACATGGGGGTGCAACATGGATCAGAAAGGGTGCAAGAAAGGGTACAGATAGGGTTGTGTAGTGGGGGGGAGACTTACCCAAGCAACTTGTAATCTTTCCTGCCAGCTTTCCCACTGCTGATGCTTCCTGCTAGCTTCCCTCAAGCAAGATTTTGCTTGTGAGAAGCTGTCAGGGAGCATCAACGATCACAACTGAGTTTCTATTTCCTCCAGCATCTCATTGACTTTTGGGAAGCGAACATGGAGCATTGAAAATTAAAATTGTGTGACTGTAGCAATGCTGAAACAGCTCTGAAGTGGTCACAATTTCCCCAAATTTCATTCCCATAGGAATAATGAGTCCTGGCATTCTGTAAGTTAGCCAATTTGAAGCACATTGGTTCAAAAAATGCACTGTTTTGCCCAGATGAAGGTTAGAAACAAACAGAAGAGGTTTAATAGTATATAGATAGTAGTTTAAAATTTAGAGCATGTTGAATAACAGTTAGAACAAAAATTGCTGTCATTTTTGTTGTACTGGGTTAATTCAATATTGCAAAATTTAAAAAGTGATAAAGATTGCAAACAATAATCTCTTTATATAGATATAATTCCAAAAATGCACTATGTTTTATGTGACATATATTATGGTGTATCAGCCACAAGGCTAAAAGCGGCTTGGGACTTAATTTAGGAAAAAAAATTAGAATATTTGGCAGCATTTATGGCAGCAAGAGGATTTCCTACCAGCATTTACACAAGAAATATGTTTTTAAATTGGCATCAAACTTCAATAAGAATCTCACACATATCTTTTAAATATTGAGTGAATTCTTACGATGCTGAAAAACTGAAGGGAATATTCTTTTACCTCTGACAGGAATGTAATATTTTAGATTTGGGGAAGAAAATGTTTAATGAAATGTCATGCATAACTAAAGGGAAGGTTAAATTTTATTTAGTTGCTTACTTTTCAACTTACATGGTTGCTCATTTGACTCTGGGTAACAAACAACAATAAAAGTAATAGCAATATAGCAATATATAAGTAGCAGCTGAAATAAACTTCAAGCAGCCATCAACCTAAATATTTCACAGTATTTCTAGTATGTTTCAAGCTCCATGCCTGGTGAGAAATTTTCAAGGCTTTACATTAGACCAACAGGGTCTAGACAATCTCTGGAGGATGCTGTTCCAAAGAAGAAGTGCCGCAACATAAAGGGTTTTCTATTTAGGTCCTGCCAGATGACACTCTTTAATAGATAGGACTCATAGCATGTCCCTTATGTTGGATGTGACAGAACTGATAAACTTAATTGGAGAAATGGTTCCACAAATAACCCAGTCCATCCCATGAAAGGCTAACCATACTAATACTAGCAAGCAGTGCAGTTTATGGAGCAGATGTGTAACATGTGTCACCACTATTGCATTTGATGTTTAACAATCCAGATGTTTAACAATCATCAGCTCCATATAAAGTGCATTACAATAGTCAATTTGAGAAATGACCAAGGCAGGAACATCGAACTAATATATTGTGACTGAGAACCTTGCCTATTTCATCAGGACTAATAGATTCAAACACCCCCTAGATAACCAAAGTAAACTGAGTCTCAGTCACCTCCATAGGAACTGCTTCCATTCTTCAAAGTTAGGATTTTTATGCATTTTTGATAGAATTAAAAAACCTCACAAAGTAAAAAAAAAGTTTCTACTTCTGACAGGAAGTTAATTATTGCTAAATAGTGGAAATAATTAGATAGTATATCAATGGATGGATGTTGTGAAAAAGTCTGAACCTTTGCTAAGAAAATCTCTGAAAAGATCAAGTCTATGACAAAGCAAGTCTGTACAAGACTATAGATATAAAATAAGCATACTGACAACAACTTGTATCAAAAATTATGGGCAAGTTAAAATCTGGCATCGCTATATAAAGTTTGGGATTTAAAACTTTAAATACAAATAATAATGAAAAGAATATTGCTCTGGCTTTTCAGCAATAATTTCTTGGATGAAACTTGCATATATCTTTCAACTACCAATTTTCAAGATGTGCATTTTACTTTTGTGAACATTTGGCTTTAGTAGCTCTTTAGAGGCTGGAACATTAAATGGGATTATTAGTGCAGAACTCATGAGGAAAACCAAATTGAAGCATGACAAAATCTGGAAAGCAATCTCATCTACAGCCCAATGACTTTCATCCCCAAATTAGAATTTGGCAGCAGTCCTTAGATTTAATTAATTTTTTGTTTGTTTATATTAGTCTGATTTTAACAGCATTAGAAGGTGCCTGTTCATTCAACAAAAATTTATCCCAGGAGTAAATTAAGAATATACAGCTATGACAAAGAGATCTCATTAGCACATACATGTAATGAGAAGTGTAAGCTGTTTTGCAGTTTTATGACAGAAGGTTTAGAAAGATTTGGAAATGTTTATTTTTGTCATTTATGAAATTTGCAGAGTGAAATAGAGATTGACATCATTATGGCAAATAAATTTATGTCAGTATCCTTAGTGAATTCAAATATAGTTTTAAATCTACTTGGACATAAAATGTTTCATAAGAGAGGTAGGAAGAAACGTATTATATTAGCTAGTTTAGAAAGAAACTATAATTATGTCATGTTCTTCATGTAAAGGACATTTGTATAGACTAAAACAATATTTCTCAAGTTTGGCAATTTTGTGATGCATCAACTTCAACTCCCAGAATTAATAGGCACTACTGTTAGCACTATTTTAATTCATTTGCACAATGCAGTATTAATCAAAAGCCTGTATTTTCATGTTTCAAATAATATGATTTTCATATTGTTGAAATTCTAAGGTAAGCTTACTTTCTGTATTAGAAAATATGACCTGGGTATTTGCTTAGACCAGCTGAAACTGAATGTTCTTATTTATTGCAGCTTAATTCAGTCCTATTGATTTCTAGCTTTAATGTAAATATGATGAAGTTTGGATCTAAATCAAGGTAAACATTTAGTTTTGAGTAAATATGAAGTAACTTATGGTGGGTTGTTTTCATTTAGCTAACAAAACATACTACCTTTTCCTACAGAATTCTAGTTACGATGTTGCTAGAAGGCAAATTTCATGGATTCCATAAATTCTGGGTATTCCTAACAATGTCCTTTCAGTCGCTTGTTAGGTTCACATTGCTTTTGTAGTTTAATTTTGTACTTAACCAGCCAATTATGATTTAGAGAAAGTGTTATATATCTAGATGTGGTTAAATTACAACTGCTGATATCTAGTATCCACTGCCAATGGTGAGGGCTAAGCTTATTTATTTCCTGGTTTAACATTATGTGTATATCTGGTCACTGGTTTATTATTCAGACCAGTTCAATATAATATGGAAATCAAGTCTTTGGAAACAATGATAACATGGGCTAAAAATTTTGGGCACATTATAGTTAGAAAACTGGCAAAATCTTTGGGAAAGAAACTATAAAATAATAATGGCAACTGCATATATATAAAAAATTCTATATAAAATGTTTTATAGATGGCATCTACCACCGGCTATATTAGCAAAAATGTTTAAAAATATGTCTAGCAATTGTTGGAAATGTAGGCAAAATATCAGGCACATGCTATCATCTTTGGTGGACATGCCATAAAGCAAAACAATTTTGGACAAAAATTCATACTTGGTTAGAAAAATGTTAAGAAAGCACATAGATTTTAAGTCAGAGCTATTTTTATTAGGTATAATCTCAGGAAAATATGAAAAAGAAAATGTATATTTAATGGTACATGTATTAATAGCAGCAAGAATTGTTTTTGTGCAGCATTGGAAATCTGAAGATGACATAATTAAGAAAATACTGGAATGTGCAGAAATGGATAGACTCACATTGAAAATTAAAGAAAAAGAAGATGCAGAATATTTTCAAATATGGGATGTATTTTACCAATGGCTGGAAAAACTGGGTAGACATTAGAATTTTATTATATGTTATTAAGGTAAGAACCAGACAACATGTTGTTCAATAAACATTTATGAATTGTAACAATAAAAAAAGTCTTGACTGGATGGAAGCAAATAAAGCATTTATTCTATTTCTTCTTTCATCATTGTCCTTCAGATATTCTTCCAAAGCCATTTTTTCTTCTTCAGCATTCCACGCCCACCTATTTGCCTTGGTAGGTAGAGTCTGTCAATGTCACTGCGTGGATGAAGGGCATGATTCATTGTCATTATTTTTCTGGTCTTCCTATCCATTGCTTTTAGTTCTGCTTGAGAACAGTCCACTGTTCCAGCTATGTATCTAATGACTGGAATTGCCCATGTGTTGATTGCCTTCATGGTATTTCCTCCATTAAGTTTAGACTTTAAGATCTTCTTCACTCTCTTGATGTATTCACCTCTAATCTTTTTGTTGACTTCAGTGTGCTTGATGTTGTCGGCTTGAAGGACACCCAAGTATTTGTAGTACTCTTCCTCATCCAGACTCTTAATGTTATTTTCGTGGGGCATCTTGATTTCTTCAATTTTCACTATTTTTCCTTGTTTGATAGTAAGTGTGGCACATTTGTCCAAGCCAAACTCCATTGCAATATCTTGGCTATATATAGATACAGTGTTGAGCAGCGATGATGATGATGATGATGATTGTCAGCCTGATGTTTAGACTGGATTTGACATTATTCTTCACCTTTTGAGTCTTTCCCAAGAAACTGAGATAGGCAAGTTTGATGGTGTTGAAGGTATCACTGCAGGAGGTAAACTGATCAAAATAAAGCTATCTTTTGCAGTTGACTTATGATGATTTTGTCAGTGCCGAAAGTGTTCATGTGGTACTTGAAATATTTTGGGAGTACACCCAAGGAACCTATTGCTATTTATTCTATCTTTGCTTTCTTTTGCCATAGTCCTTTGATTTGCAGGTGTTTGTATTTTATAATTTTCTCCAGTTCTTTCTCTTTCATTCTGCTCTGTCCAGGTACTGCCATATCTGCTAGTCAGGGTTTGGATTGGGTTTTTTTTGGGGGGGGGGTTTCTTATCAACAGTTGTTAAGTTGGGTTGTTATGTAGCAAGTGTTTGTCTATTTTAGGGGTGTCAAACTGCCTTCTTCATTTCTATTACTTTGTTTATCTTCTGGTCCCACCAGTTCTTGATTGCTGGAAAATGAATTTTTTGCAGATCTTCTAATGTACCATTGTTGTGACTATATTGTACCAGTTTCTGTAGTGAGTCTGTGCCATCTTATTGCAGCACCTAACTAGGTAGTGCACTGTTTCTTCAACCTCTTTGTAGACATGGCATTTACTGTCCCCGTCTATTCAACTCTAGCTTTATGTGTGTGAGCTCTTAAGACTTGGTCTTGTGCTGCCAAAATTAGCTCCTCTGTTTTTTTCTTCAATTTTCCTGCTTTTAGCCATTACCAAGTCTTGTTATTTTTTTACAAAATACAATACTTTGCTATACAATACTTTGCCTTGCATTTGATCTTTCTTATAGGCCAGTTTGGTTTCTCCAGTTTCAATAAGCCTTCATGGTATACTGGTTTCAGTGCATCATCTTCAAATATTCTTCCAATAATCTTTTTTCTTCTTCAACTGTCTGGTGTACTTGCAACATTCCTCACCCACTTATTCTCCTTGGTAAGTAGAATCTGTCAACATGGTTGTGTGGATGAAGGCATGATTCACTCATTATTGTTCTAGTCTTTCGGTCCGGGACTTTTAGTTCTACTTGAGTCCGATCCCTAATTCCAGCAGTGTATTTAATTACTGGAAATTCCCATTGCCTTGGTGGTATTTCCTGCACTGAATTTGGATTTCATTATCATGATGTATTCACTTCTAACTTTTTTCTTAACTTCAGTGTGCTTGATGTTGTCAGCTTGATGAATGCCCAGGAATTTGATCATCTTCATCCAGGCTCTTGAAGTTATTTCCGTAGGGCATCTTTGTTCCTTCAGATTTCAATATTTTTCCTTATGGTTAGCATATTTCTCCAGACCACACTCCATTGCAATATCTTGGCTGTATACATGGACAGTGTTCAGCAATGATTCTATTTCAGACGGTGTTTTTCCATACAATTTCAGACCATCCATGTAAAGGTAGTGAGATAAATTCTTATTTTCTCCATAACAACAACCTTGTGAAGTAGGTTGGCTGAGAGAGAATGACTATCCTAAAGTCACACAACTGGCTTTCATGACGAAAACAGGCCTAGACTTCATGGTTTCCTAGTTTCTAGACAGCACCTTCATCTCTACACCAAACTGGCTCTTATACCCTGCTTTCCAGGAAAGCTGTTAGAATATATTTTTAAATATTTTCCTTCAATATAAAACCTATCTAGAATATTAAAAATATAAACATTTTTTATGAATTAAAATTTATTGCCAGAAGAGGGCAGCCTTTACACATGTATTATAAATAAAACAACATAGAAATACATCATCCCCTAGAATTAGAATGGTGGGCATACCTCCAACTACAAGCAAGATATAGGAAAGACAAAAAAGAGTGGGGCATAAAAATAGAACCAACAGAACTAGACAAAATATTATTAGGGCCCGAGGACAAAATGATTAAAAAATATATCACTTTCTTTTAGATCAGGCAATGTATGAAGAACAGGTCAAGGAGACTATGCTAATTTGGAGTAGGGATTTTGGTTGCAGTATTGATCTGCATATTTGGCAAGAATTGTGGGAAAGAAATGGAAAACTCACTCTAGCTACCTCATACAAGGAAAATCTCTACAAGATGTTTTATAAATGGCACTTCCCACCTGTAAGGCTAGCCAAAATGGGTCCTAATATCTCGCCTTTATGCTGAAAATGTAAAACAGCAATAGGATCATATTACCATATGTGGTGGGAATGCCCAAAGTCTTGTGAGTATTGGAATAGGATACAAAGATGGCTGAAAGATATATTAATGTTGGACTTAGAGTTAAAACCTGAACTTTTCCTGTTGGGAATAACCATGGAGAAATACAATAAGGGAACAATTTATTTGCTGTTACATGTCTTGACTGCAGCTAGGCTTGTGTTCGCGCAAAAATGGAAGAGCAAAGAAATTTCCCCAGAGGAAGAACTATATAAAATATTAGCATGTGCGGAAATGGACAGGCTCACGATGGTATTGAAAGACAAATGTAGATCAGTTTATTTCGAAATCTGGGATAAATTTTACCGCTGGAAGGATTCGAGGAAGACGGGCTAATAATGTTAAGATAGAAATATATGTAATTTTAGAATAAGTATTATATATAAAATTTAGATGTATATTCAGAGATGAAGAAGCAATTGTAAAATGTGGAATAATTTGATAAGAATGTATATACTGGAATGTCACGTTATATCCAATATCTTTTTTAATTGTATTATAAATAAAATTTTGAAAAAAAAAAGAAATACATCATTTCCCCCCCCCCATTAGATTCAATATGTTGTGAACCATAATGGAGTATAAACAGGAAAATCAAATTTGCCTGATTGTATCTTAATTCACTATTTTCTTAAAATAATTTATTATAATAATTCCACAAGGTATGAATGTATCTTTGTTGATACAGGAGTACTAAAATATTTTCAGAGTTGATACAAATTTACACTTTGAATTCTTTCTTGAAAATTCTGTTCATTAATATTGCTGGGAAATTCTAAAGGTGAGTTGAAGATTCATATAGCAAAATATATGAAAGAATTTTAAAACTCTGGAAAGCTATTATTATTATCATCAACATTTATTGTTAATGTATTATATTACTCTTTATTTAATATAATAATGAAATATTTCCCAATACATTGATTTTCATTAACATTTTAAGTTACATAACATTTTAAATTACATTTTAAAATTAATATTTGTGGCTATAAGCAACCAACTCTATTAATGTTGGGCAGTTGAAACAGTTTAAATTTTTTAAATCTTCTTGTCATTACAAGTAGGATTAAAGACTGCTTAGCATGGCATCAGACAAAGTATTTAAATTCTAATATTAAGAATTAGTTTTATTGGAGGATTTATACTGGACCTTCAATACTAAAAGAAATCTCTCCAATGAAAATTGTTCCATATACATATAAATCATTAATTTAACTATGTGCTTGGCGACAATCTAATATGGCTTCCAGGCACCAATGGTCACAATGAATGCTGCTAATAAAAAATCTATTAAATTTCAGTCTCAGGTGGCCAATTAGATTTCAAACTGTTGTTCATTTATTGAAATTACACATTCCCTTACTACACTGAGTTTATTCATCTTTGCTTTTATCAACCCTAGATAGAACCAGCACACAAAAGGAAAAAGTAGGCTTGATATAGCCCCAAGATTTGCAAATTATTATAAGGGCAAAAATTATAATAAGAAATACTAAAAAGCAAAGTAGGCAAGTCAGCAAGAACACCACAGTGAAAGCTGAACATGAACAATAACTACAAAACAGTAAACTTCTTAACTATAGCCAACCACATTGTGAGTAATGTTCTGATTTTGAGATGTCTTTGCTGCCACCTGATGGCCATCTCAATTTTTACAGTACAGATCTGATCTCTTTAGACTCTGGTTGCACTATGTTTTGGTGGCCTGTTTAAAGGATGGGTGGTGATGTGATATTACTTCAGTGGCAGGCTTTACATTTCCAGACCTCTCTTTGTTTTTGTGTATGTGCTTTCGGGTATGAAAATTTTTAGGGGTAAAATTGTTGCCTTAAGATTGCAGAAATTGTGACTTTTCTCTCAACTCCTTCTGCAAGCTTTTATCCAGTCCCTGTAACACACAAGGTCCATTTCAGCTCTGCCTTCTTTAGGCGCTACTGCAGGGGGGGGGGGAATGATTTTATCAATGGGCTGCACAATGTCGACTTATGCAAAAATCATGGTTTTAAAGCTGCAAGTCACAGTTAAGATCCCACATCATTCTAAAATAAGAGTAAATCCCAGGGTATCAAAGATTATAGCCTCTCAAATGCTCAGACAGCTTCTAATAATTGCT